TTTCTGGCTTAGTACTTCATCAGTTGACTTAGATGAAAGTCTGTCTTCTATGATTTAGGGAGTCACTCCCTAGTCCCCAGCAACCACCCAAACGTAATCACATTTTGACCCTTTATCTCCCACACATTTGAGTTTCAGGTAGGTGAAAAACTTTACTCTTCCCCTACAAATCACACTGCAAACTTTTTTTTTTAAAGCTGTTCTATTTTGGGAGTATCTTCTGTCCAATTTAGACCTAACCACAGAGTGCAAGCTTTTGTCAAGGTTAGCCACTTTCAATGCCAAGTGGAAACACCATAAATCAAAAAGTTAACATCGAAAGGTTTCCAAGGAGCCTGGAGGAAAACCAAGCTAAAAAGGGTGACTGGGAATGTTGTCTGGGAGTGGGAGATAAAAAAAAAATGTTGTTTAATTTTCAAAGTTCACGGGTACAGTAGAAAAGTAGACACATTAAAAGGACACATTGGAATGCATTGAAAAAAATAAATATAACAATGCATAAGCAGGCTGTTTTTATTCAAATCCTTCTCTCCTGTGCCAGAGTTGGTATCTTTGCCACGCTCTCAGGAAGTAGGGAAGGGCAAGCATGGCCATGTCCTTATTATTTTAAAAGGAAAGTGCAGTGGATGCTCCCCTGGTGGTCAGTGGGATGCCAGTTTGAAAGAGACACAGAAATCCAACTGTGTCTAACTTTAGAACTAATGAGCGAGCTCAGTCTTTTGAGTCATGTAAATTGGGAATACGCATCACAGGGACCCAGAAATTTCTAGTATTGTGCTTCTCTCTCTCTCTCTCTCTCTCTCTCTCTCTCTCTCTCTCTCTCTCTCTCTCTCTGTGTGTGTGTGTGCGTGTGTGTGCAGGTGCACACGTCTGCAAATAAAGCATTGGGTATAGTTCCTCGGGTGCTGCTGGAGACAGGCTCTCTCACCGGCTTGGAACCAGTGATCTGGCTAAACTGGCCAGCCAGCGAGCCCCAGATCTCCAGAGATCCACCTATCTCTGTCTCTCCAATGCTGGGATTAGAAGCGTACACCATTGTGCTTAGCTTCTTTCTGTGGGCTCTGGGGACAGGACTTAGTTGCCACACTTGCACGGCAAGGACTTTACTGACTGAGACTTCACTCCAAGCCAGTTGGGTTTCCTTTGAGATGATTGTCTGCTCCAGTTTGGATCAGCAACACCCCCACAATGGTCTGTCTATTGCAGGCCTGGTCCTCAGTTTGGAGCTATTGGGAGGTAATGGAGCACTTAAGAGGTGAGGCCTGGTGGGAGGCTGTAGTGCATCAGGGTGTGCTCGCAAAGGGGATTATGGGATGTTATTTTCTTCTCCTTTTCTTCCCATGCAACATGAGGGAGCTGCTTGCTCTACTGTACCATGTACTCATGGTCATTTTGTGATGCCTGGAACTAACTTGAAAGTGTAAGGGACAGCTAAGGCACATGGAAGCCTCTAGAACTGAGCTGAAAAAACATTTTCTACTCTTGAATTGGTTTATCTCAGATATTTGTTTCAATAATGAAGAACTGGTGTGTGTGTGTGTGTGTGTGTGTGTGTGTGTGTGTATGTGTGAGTGTGTGTGTCTTTAGTGTTGAGGATAGAGCCCAAAGAACTGTGCACATAAGGCAAGTGCTCTACCACTGAGCCACGCCCCCAGCTCCTCACCTGGGGATTCTAGGCAGGGGCTTTACCACTGAGCCACACCCCAGCCCTTCACTGGGGGATTCTAGGCAGGTGTTCTACCACTCAGCCCCACCCCCAGCCCCTCACTGGGGGATTCTAGGCAGGTGCTCTACCACTGAGAAACAACCCCAGCCTTATTTTTATTTTTATATTTTGAGACTCAGTTGCTCAGGCTAGTTTTTTAACTCACTTGGAGTTCAGGCAGGACTTGACTGTATGGTCCTCCTACCTCAGCTTCTCAAGAAGATAGAGTGAGAGGTCTGAACCACCAGTTCCGACTTGGGATCCTTCATTTATATAGGTCAGTTTGGTACCCAGGAAGCACAGGAATCCAACATCTGTACAATTCTGTGATCTATTAATCTTCATAAAAATGATCCTAGAACCCAGCTCTCCATCGATGAGTAGGACACCAAGAGCTAGAGAGCCAGAGGAGGGGGGAGCACTAAGCATCTCTCAGCAGGTGGGTGCACAGATGAAAAACGAGATGACTTTTTCTGAGAGCGAGTTTCACCTCTGATTAAAATTCTGCCTAAGACGGAAGGATGATGTTCAGAGATAAGAATGACTCACTAAATCAGAAAGGCCTCTCTCTGCACATTATTCTTCCCACTTGCAGCCACGGTTGTCTCTCTCTCTCATATTTATATATATAAAAAAACATTGTTTCAGAAAAATGAGCATGGTGACTCACATCCATAATCCCAGACGTGGGGACACTGAAGCACCAGATTTCAACAAGTTCCAGGCTGGCCTGGTCTACATAGACCTTGTCTCTACAGAAAGTACTTTTTAAAGGTTATCCTGTCATGGAACTAGAAAAAATCATCCTGAGTGAGGTAACCCAAACCCAGAAAGACAGTTATGGTATGTACTCACTCATTGGTGGATTCTAGATATAAAATAAACAATCAGACCACAACCCATAGAACCATAGAGGCTATATATATAGCATGGAGGTCCCTAGGATGACTGTGGCATATAATCAATTTCAG